TCTCTCTCTCTCTCTCTCTCTCTCTCTCTCTCTCTCTCTCTCTCTCTCTCTCTCTCTCTCTCTCTCTCTCTCTCTCTCTCTCTCTCTCTCTCTCTCTCTCTCTCTCTCTCTCTCTCTCTCTCTCTCTCTCTCTCTCTCTCTCTCTCTCTCCTTTTTTCATTATGTTTCTGCTCCTCCTTCAGCTAATACTGATTATATGCCCCTTAGTCGGACTGAGTTGACATTTTTAAATCAAAGCTCAATGAGGGTTACTCTGTTGATACTTGATGACATGTTCCTTGAAGGAAATGAGGTTTTTGGAGTTAGCCTAACTAGTACAGACCCACGAGTAAACTTTGCTGCCCCAAGAATTGCTAATGTAATAATTCAAAACGATGATAGTAAGAAAATGAAAGAGTGGGAGAGAAAAGAGAATTTACAAACGAACTCAATCTTATGTATATCCATGTATTTTTTTACTATTTTAGGTGTTAGCATTGGTTTTAATGTTTCAAATGTCGAAGTATCCGAAAACGACGCTTTTGCTAATATCAATATAGTGATTGATGGAACTGTCTCGTATAGGGACTTTTATATACACTTTGAAACTCTTCAAGACTCCGCAGTGGCAGGTATAAGAATAAGTGAACTTGCATGCAATATAGTAGATGTACACGTACATGTATATGTACATGCTATACGATCAGATATGTCTAAGTAGCATGTCATTCAAGGAACTAAATGTACATGTACTTTCATTTCTTTTCGTATGGCCTTAGATACATGTATAATACTACATGTACATGTAGTATTGCACATGTAGATGTATAAGTTTAATACACTGCATTTCATTGTGTAGATGTACTGTTGTATTATAAAATAGTGTAATTATTGTTATTCTATTTTAGCTTTTTTTTATTTTTCTATCCCTCCCTCTTTCCCTCTTGGAAAAGGCTCCGATTTCATTCCAATATCTAATGATATACTATTCCCTGCTAACACCACGGTCATCACAATATCTATTAGGATTATTAATGATAGTATAACGGAGCAAGCATCGGAGTCATTCACTGCCATTGTGAGAGGAGCAGACAGGGACCTCTCATTTGTTAAAGTATCCAGTATAAATCAGATCCCTGTAGCTATTAATGACGATGATTGTAAGTGCCTTTGTATTGAGAATGTCTGCGTGTGTTTTCATGTAGTGTTGAATTTTACTCTGATTCCAATCGAAATTGGACTTTTTGCAATTTTTTTAAATTGCTCAAAAATGAGGCTAAAGTCCCTGTAGTACAGTACATGGTCTCGGGCCAAAATTCATCAAATTTGACAAGGAGAGAATTCTCTATTTTTATTACATTTTAAAACTCATTTACATGTATATGTACTTATGTTGTGTAGAAAGTTTGAACTGAAATTGGAT